GGTTGAAACCCTCCAGAAATACATCCCACACTGTTAGGTCCTCCCGCAGTGGATGCGTAATTCATACGAAAATGTGGACACCACCATCATGCAAGGCCTCAGCCCTGAGGGCTGCCAAAATACCTTCCATAGGCCCTGGCCGAATATAGCTGGGGAACACCACCAGAGGGTAACAGAAAATGCCTCCCTTTATATATATGGCCACTCCCTTTAACCTAGGCCTCCCCCTTACCTACAGGACCTTCTTTCTTTGAACTTATCACACTCCCTCCTACCCCCCCACTCACACATGCCCCTGTTCCCAGCTAGCCCTTTGGTCTGCCTCCTCAGGGTCTAGTTACCAGTGAGGTACCTCAGGGATCTGTACTTGGACTCATTCTCTTTAATATTTTTATTAGTGATATTGCAGAAGGTCCTGATGGTAAGGTATGTCTTTTTGCTGATGATACTAAGATATGTAACAGGGTTGATGTTCCAGGAGGGATAAGCCAAATGTCAATGATTTAGGTAAACTAGAAAAATGGTCAGAGCTGTGGCAGCTGATATTTAATGTGGATAAGTGCACGATAATGCATCTTGGGCATAAAAACCCAAGGGCAGAGTATAGAATATTTGATACAGTCCTAACCTCAACATCTGAGGAAAGACACCTCCCTGGACTGACAAGGAAGGGGGGACATGACTGCGGCTAGGATAAGGAGTCTTGAAGGAGTAAGGGAAGGGAGGGGTATAAATGGATACATAGTTGCTAAGATGGAAGACAGTTATAAGGACAGATAGGGGAGGGGACTTACCAGTCAGCTTTGGAAGTGCAGGGATCCTGACTTTCATCTGTCCTTCATCTGTCCTTCTGTGCTGACCCCCAAAAAAACAAAAAAAAAAAACAGCTATTATTATTCAGTTGTTCCCTTACCTGTATTCCTGCTTATCTGATGGATGTTTCCCAGGAATCGTTGGTGGCCCTGTTGCAGGCTTACCGGGCTGCACATGGTGCAGGCTCGTTGGCAGCGGTGTTGGCCGGCATGGAAGGTGTCCCGGGTGAAGAGGCGAGGCCCGTGGAAGAAGGGCGGCGGGCCAGGCGTTCAAGGCCGCCGTCGCGGCTGTCTCCCAGCCCGGTGCGAGGAGAGCGAGAGGGCCGCAGGCGCCGGCGGACTGGAGTGGCTGGGAACGTGGAGCCGAGCCTTGGGTCCCCCCCCCGAGCGGTCCGGTCCCAGGTGAGGGCTGCGGTGGCGTCCGGCAGCCATTCCCAAGATGGCGGCATGGCGGGAAGATCGAGGAGCCCTCTACCTTTCTTCCGGTCGGCCGGAAGTGACGTCACGACGCCGGTCGCGCACGGCCGGCGCGCCGGATATGACATCACCTGACGGCGACGGGCAAAACCCGGAAGTGGGTGCCCGCGCTGCAATTAGGAGGCCGGGCGCTCGGGGATGGCCGGCGCCGGCTGAAGAACCCGGAAATAGGGGTGCTGTGACCCGGACAGCAGCCCCAAGGCGGTGGGAGTCCCCAGGTCCGAGCAGTACACGGGGTGCTGCGGAGCAGACGGCAGCCCCGAGGTTGCAGGGCTGTCAGGATGCCGGCGGTCGGGAGGCCGTGTCGGTTACAGCCCCCCTGGGAGCTGGGAGGCTCCAGGGTGATTCCGGTGAGTCAGAGGAGTCAGAGGAGGAGCGTGAAGCTGATGGAGAGCGGCCCCTGCGCCTTCCCTCATTCGGTGGTCGGCCCCGGTACGTGTGGATTATAGGGCATTCTTATGTGTACTGGGCAGCTAGGCGAGCTGAAGGCCGGACCTACGGACGGAATTTGGGGTTTTCGGTGGACGTGGCCAGAGTCAGGTGGAAGGGCATTAGGGGCCTCCAGTGGCAGCAGATTTATCCAGAGTTCGTGGCCCTGCGTAAGTTTGTGTCGGGGCCGGTGGTGGCGGTTGTTCACGCGGGTGGTAACGACTTAGGGGTATCCCGGACTGTGGACCTTCTCCACGCGATTCGGCACGACTTGGCAAGGTGCATGGCGCTCTTTCCAGACATGACCTTGGTTTGGTCGGAGGTGGTATCCAGGCCGTGCTGGCGCGCGCTTCCGCACTCTCGCGGTTTGGAGAAGAGCCGGCGCAAGCTGAACATTGCTGTGGGGAAGTTTGTACGGCGGTTGGGAGGAGTGGTCATCCGACACGTGGAGCTGGAAGGAGAGAACCAGAATTTGATGAGAAAGGATGGGGTCCATTTAAACGAAATAGGGTTAGATATCCTGAACACGGGCTTGCAGGGTGGGATTGAGGCTGCGCTGTCGGCGGGGGGCGCGATGACGGCAGGAGGCGCGAGGGGAAGTCGTCATCGCGGTGGCGGGAGTCCTGGCCAGCGCAGGCAGAAGTGGTGAAGTTGCCGAGGAGGCTTGGGGAGTCGCAGCCTGTTGGGAGCTGATGGCGGAGGCAGGCTGCTCAGGACTCATGGTTTGTGGGGATAGACCTGTCTGTTGGGCAATCACCCCAACAGCTGACAGTATGAATATGTTGCTGGCATGGAAATTAATTAATAAAAGCTGTGGCCGATGCCCTTACCCAACGTAATTACGGTCTCTGTGTGTTATTGGGGAACTGGGGGCATTGGGTGGGTGGTACAGACATCTAGACAGCAGTCAAGACACCTCCCTGGACTGACAAGGAAGGGGGGACATGACTGCGGCTAGGATAAGGAGTCTTGAAGGAGTAAGGGAAGGGAGGGGTATAAATGGATACATAGTTGCTAAGATGGAAGACAGTTATAAGGACAGATAGGGGAGGGGACTTACCAGTCAGCTTTGGAAGTGCAGGGATCCTGACTTTCCCGCCCTCCCTCCCATAGGACGTTTAGTTAGACAGGAATGTGGGTTGTTTGTTGGTGCCTGTTGTTGGTTGTCTTTATTCCTGTTTTTGTCACAGCACGCAGGAGTCCTGGCCAGCGCAGGCAGAAGTGGTGAAGTTGCCGAGGAGGCTTGGGGAGTCGCAGCCTGTTGGGAGCTGATGGCGGAGGCAGGCTGCTCAGGACTCATGGTTTGTGGGGATAGACCTGTCTGTTGGGCAATCACCCCAACAGCTGACAGTATGAATATGTTGCTGGCATGGAAATTAATTAATAAAAGCTGTGGCCGATGCCCTTACCCAACGTAATTACGGTCTCTGTGTGTTATTGGGGAACTGGGGGCATTGGGTGGGTGGTACAGACATCTAGACAGCAGTCAAGGGATTTAGGTGTAATTATTTCAGATGACTTAAAGGTAGGCAGAAAATGTAATAAAGCAGCAGGAAATGCTAGCAGAATGATTGGTTGTATAGGGAGAGGTAGTAGCAGTAGAAAGAGGGAAGTGCTCACGCCATTGTACAGAACACTGGTGAAACCTCACTTGGAGTATTGTACGCAGTACTGGAGACTGTATCTCCAGAAGGATATTGATGCTTTGGAGATAGTTCAGAGAAGGGCTACAAAACTAGTTCATGGATGAAACTTACTGGGAAAGGTTAAAGGATCTTAACATGTATAGCTTGGAGGAAAGACGAGACAGGGGAGATATGATAGATACATGTAAATACATAAAGGGAATCAACAGAGTAAAGGAGGAGAGTATATTTAAAAGAAGAAAAACTACCACAACAAGAGGACAGAGTCTTAAATTAGAGGGGCAAAGGTTTAAAAATAATATCAGGAAGTATTACTTTACTGAGAGGCTAGTGAATAGCCTTCCAGCTGAAGTGGTAAAGGTAGCATAATGAGGGAGTCTAAGCATGTGTGGCATAGTCATAAGGCTATCCTAGCTAAAAGATAAGGCCAGGGACTAATAAATGTATTTAGAAAATTGGGCAGACTAGATGGGTGGAATGGTTCTTATCTGCCGTCACATTCTATGTTTCTATGGTCTCCACCTCTATCAGATGTACATTTCTTTAAGATCTCCTCATGGTCCCTGTCCTCTTGAAAGACTAAGACTGCAGCTGCCAGCACTCAGTCACTGATAGAGCACAAAACCATAAGGGTGCTGTTAAAGTGCTTCAAACACCAGATAGAAGTGCAGCCACAACACTCCTGTACATGGCCATCAGGGATCCTGCTCCTCAACATGCCCTCCACTGGACAACCACAACGTATATCCCCTCCTGCCAAAAGGTTTGATTGGGGGGAGGAAATTTTTAAAAGGGGGAGGATTTATGGAGAGGCTTCCACACACACTCAACCTCCCCCCCAACACAGACACGCAACACTCAGCCATAGACATTATACAGCACAACCCTGCTCACACACACAACACATATACTCCCATTCACAACCAGAACACTCAACCTCCTCCTCACACAAAATTCAGCCACACAACACTTAACCAGCAAACACAGGCACTGTTGACCACCCCCCACATGCTACAGGATATTCCTTGCACCAGAACCACTGCAGCAGAACCTCATTTACCACTTTGGCAGGCTGAAACTGATAAGATTTTAGTCAGCAACAGCATTAGCCCTTAAACGTGAGTATCAATGAAAGTGATCTTCACAGGAAAAACACGGTAAAACAAATTTAGTTTGCTGCATGTGTGCGTATAACACAAGCGAGCATTTTAAATATAGATCTAACTGCCAGTTATTTTGCAATCTGTGCCAACGGATACACTAAGGAAACTACTGTAGGCAACTTCAATACAATCACCTTATCAGATTCTCGCTCTTCTAATCTCTATCAAAAACATACATCTTGATGCTGAGATCTTCACACCTGCACATCAACCATGTGGTATGCCGTGGTGTTAACAGTGGCTTTAGGTTTTAGAGAATTGGAGTTAAAAACGTGCTAACAAAATTATAATTTTATTGTTATAATTGTTATAATTAGCACAAAAAAAATTCCAAATGAAATGAACAATGAATGAAACAGTTTAACTTGTTTCTGATTTGTTGTTCCATCCAGGACAACACAAAACATTGATGGAAAAAACATGATTGATGGTTAGAGGACAGCCACTAAATCAGGAGTCCTCAAACTCCGGCCCCCCAGATGTTGCTGAACTACAACTCCCATGATTCTATGAATTACATAGATAGGGAATCATGGGAGTTGTAGTTCAGCAACATCTGGGGGGCCGGAGTTTGAGGACCCCTGCACTTAATATTGATTTCATTTACAGATCAAGTGACCAAGCAGAAAAAAACTATTTAATTTGTATATTATAAATTTAATAAATGTCTGATATGTAAATATATATATATTTTAATGATCCTCCTCTTTTACCATATATTGGTAACTTCTCACTTGATGGATGAACCAAATGGCTCAAAAATGGGCCTATTAGTGTATTTCAAAATATATACATTCACGTGGGTTATTCAGGTCTGAATGGCCCGGTAACAAATGAGGCTACCGCAGCCGGCTGTGTGCAGGGCCATTAGAACTGAAACACCTGGACTTTTTTCACGTTATTTATCAATGTCTGGATTTTGCAATTTAGCCCCTGAATGAGCCTGAATTTGATCTGGCTTTCAGCTGGACTGAACACCGGCAGACTGCTGAAATCTGGACCGAATGCTGCATAATTTAAAAACCCTCAACAGTTATATTAATTATGTGGTGGTTGGTCAACGATTGCAATAGTTTAAAAAAAATCTTATGGGGATTAATAAGACCCCCATAAAACTATCGAGGGGAATTAACCACCCCATGCCCTCACCTTCCATGCAGGGCCGGTGTAAGGATTTTTGCCGCCCTAAGCAAAAGAAAAATTTGCCGCCCCGTACCCCAAGGTGACATTACCCCAAGGTGACATCACAATGCCCCACCCATATGTTCTGCCATATGAACTAATGCCAGTGCTGCACACAGTGTGTGTTTATATTAAAAAGCCTTTATGGACAGGCTTCCTTAAGCTGCAGTGGTTCTGGGGACTATAGTGTCCCTTTAATGTGAGGTAAATTAGAGATTAGTGTCACTAATAATATACTAGATTGCCTACTTACAACCAGATGAGGATGGTGATGGACTCTGGCTGCAGTTTGGCTCCACTGGTCTGGTGTAGAACAACTGGTAGATAGCTCTGCCTGAGGGCAAATAGTGCATAATATTAGTTCATTTGTGAAAAAAGTCCAGGTGTTTCAGTTTTAATGGCCCTGCATTTCGTACTGGGCCATTCAGACCTGAATAACCCACGTGAATTTATATATTTTGAAATACACTAATAGGCCCAATTTTAGGCCATATGGTTCATCCATCAAGTGAGAAGTTATCAATATATGGTAATAGAAGAGGATCAGTAAAAAAATATTTCAGGCAAATTTCCAAATACACTAACAACACATAAACTATTCAGAATGGCTGGTTTGTTCTATTTACCCATCTATCGTTTAACTCGATATATTAATTTATTGTCCATGTACATACATATCACAGTTTGGGCTTAAAGGAGAATATATCCCCCCTCATCGCATTGCTCCTGAAATAGTATTTTGTGCATATACTATTACCTACAATGCATCCCTCAATCTATATACCAGCAGCTTAGTCAAATTTATATCTAGAAATCATTAATAGTCAGGAAATATAAATAGTCACAGTTTCATACAACAGATCAATTGAATGCATGGTCCATTGTCTCACACCATGCACATCTTCATTAGAAAATGGATGATGTATACACACAAATGTATACAATAATAGCAAACCTGTTTATTGCAAATTTTAGGACAAAATTGGAAACCTTATAGGAAATAAAGGTGAGTAGTAATGATAAACTACACACTGCTACCACTAGGGGGTATCACTGAGCTTTCCTAAACCTGGGGAATATATTGACTACTTAAACCAAAATAAGAGCAAATCATCCCAGTCTAAATATAAGAAACACTTTTTAGGTTTAGGTTCAATTTATTTATTTAAATTTTTCATTTTACAAGTGATTAATAAATTCTATATTTGCAAAACTTCTAGATTTATCCTCGCATTCCAGCTTTGAAATTATTCTTTGAATAAGTTTCCAATTTACCGTTTACTGAATAAGACTCTTCATCTCCTTCTCATTTGTCAAACGATTTACAGATTCCGATGTTATTTTAATCTGGACTTTACAGACTTTTCTTTTGGCCTGTTGACTAGTTCCTCTGGACAGCAACAAAATTTTCAAGTCCATAGAGTCCGATAAAGAAAAAATACTGTTTATTGATCTTATACGAAAAGCTAAACCCTTTATCAGAGAGGAGATTTCTAAACAGAAATTCTGATAAGGGGCAGACAGTTATACAGGCAAAACCACAAACATCCCCCAGAAGGTTTGACCACTTATGTCATATGTCACAATTTTTAGTTCATCTTAGGTTTGGTATATGAAATTAAATTTATGATTTATACTTTCCCCTAATATCTAAACATCTGCTGTGATTTTTCCTAAATATCTGCAAGTATCGGCAATGTAAATTTAATATACCATATATACTCAAGTATAAGTCTAATTTTTCAGCACATTATTTGTGCTGAAAAACCCCCACTCGACTTATACTCGAGTCAGTGTCTGTATTATGGCAACTTACCATAATACAGACCAGGACCACCGGGCTCATTACAAGCCCGGCGGTCCTGTTGGGGGCTGGCAGATAGCTGTTACTTACCTTCCTGTCAGCTCCCTTCTCCTCTACTGTAAGTCTCGCGGTGTGACTGCAGCAGCTCTCGCGAGACTGACAGGAGCTGCAGGAAAGGTAAGTAACAGCTCTCTGCCAGCCCCCCTCCTACACAGCCCATCCACTGGACCACCAGGGAAAGAGCCCCCCTCCCTGGCCAGCTAACAAGCAGGGAGGGGGGGACAAAAATAAAAATGTAATAATAAAGAAAAAAAATATTACAATAAAAAAATTTAAATATTAAAATTAAAAAAGTAAATAATAAAATAAAAAAATAATACTAAAATAAAAAAATGTAAATATTAAAATTTAAAAAATTTAAAATAATAAAAATGCCCTCCCCCACCCAGTTCACACACAAACACACACTCATACAAACACACCCACTGCATTGTATACACACACATACTGCATTGTATACACACACACTCATACAAACACACACTCTGCATTCACACAAACACACACACTCTGCATTGTATAATGCAGAGTGTGTGCTTGTATGAGTGTGTGTGTGTGTGTGTGTGTGTATAATGCAGATTGTTTGTATGAGTGTGTGTGTATATAATGCAGTGTGTGTTTGTATGAGTATGTGTGTGTATATAATGCAGTGTGTTTTTGTATGAGTGTGTGTGTATAATCCAGATTGTTTGTATGAGCGTGTGTGTGTATAATGCAGTGTGTATGAGTGTGTGTGTATAATGCAGAGTGTATGTTTGTATAAGTGTGTGTGTGTATATAATGCAGTGTGTGTGTTTTTATGAGTGTGTGTGTATATAATTATAAAAATCCCAGAATTTCATAGCCCCAAGTTTTACCCTCGACTTATCCACGAGGCATAGCATATTTCACAATTGTTGGTCACAAACTGCACTCGACTTATACATGAGATCGACTTATACACGAGTATATACGGTAGACATTAACACTTTATGGCTGGTATTCATCGAGAATAGGAGTTTCCATATACTTTACGTGGGTGCTTAATATGAAACATCAATCAAACCAAACATTCACACACTCATTCTGACCACATGTCTCCCAGCCTCACACCATCCCCTAACCTAACAGGTCCTAACTGGACACTCATGTACACAATTCTCCTTACTTTTTTTATAGCCCACTATGGTCCCTCACAGTCTCAAATGACTGTGCCACACTTTCCTGAGTCTCAGCAGTTGAAACCAGGGCCATAGCAGGGCTGAAATGGTCTGTACATGTAACCGCAAGAACTAAAACGAGCAAATACAGGGGCCGCAGTGGGAACGTATGGAATAGACGTGGGAGGTGTGAGCATGAAAAAAAAATACAGTGGGTACATTAAAATAAATAAATTATATTGTAAGCCAAGTAATAGGCAACACAATTCTCAGCTAAATTCTCTAAGTCCCCCTTTGGAAGTGGCCACAGGAAAGCATAAGCTGAGGAGAGTCTCAAGAAGCAGTATAAGCAGTAAGTAAGGATCTCCCATGTTACAATTAGTGTAGGAGCCACTGATATTGGGGTACTATGATGTAGTATTAGGATTAACACAATATGGTCATATGGTGTAACTGAATTCCCATATTTGTTTGCGAAGAAGGGTAATTTTAAGCAGTCGTAAAATGTAAAACTGTATTAGTTTGTGCTTGCACTGTTCCTTAATATCTATTTTGTATCTATTTTGGTCTTTACTGCTACATCACTACATAGAAATGCAAATTCCAGGTGTTCCCCCAAATCCCATTTGTTCTGCAAACATATACTACTCATAAACAGCCCCATCCATTCACACACACACAACCTCCGTCCCACACACAACTGTACAAGCAGCCTCCTTTGGCATGCTAAGTGGAAGAAGGCAGATAATAAGTGGACAGTGAATGGCTTGGGCAGAGTCATGCCATCACATCAGCTTATACTGATCTCTCATTGGCACAACAGAGTACATAATTATTATTCATCCCCTTCATGTCAATCATCTTTAGTACTTAGTAGAGCACCCTTTTGCTGTTATGACCTGCTGCAAACAAGATGCTCAACCAGACACCAGCTTCTGGCAGCGTTCCTGAGGAATCTTAGCCATGGTGGAATTTGAGGTATGCTTCGGATCATTATCTTGTTGGAAGGTCCAAGGACACTCAAGCTTCAGCTTCCTTAGAGACTGCATGACATTTTATGCTAGTATTTCCTGATAATTTATTGAATCCATCTTGCCTTTCACATGCTGCAGGTTTCCAGTGGCAGAGGATGCAAAGCAGACCCAGAGCATCACCAGCCACCACCGTGCTTAACTGTAGGGAGACTGTTCTTTTCAGCATATGCTTAATTCTTCTTCTTCCAGACATACGGCTGATCCATTGGGCTGAAAAGTTCCAGTTTTGTTTCATTGCTCCACAGAACAGAATCCCCAAACTTATTTACATGATTTAAAGCATTTTGGAGCTGACTTTTCCTGTTTTTTTGAGGTCAATATTGGTGTGCATCTTAATATTTTG